TAGATGGTCAGAATCTAAATGTTAAAATTATTTTTATAAGATGTTTTTTCTGTACAATTAAGAAGCTACTAAAATCACATCTATGAATTCATCATCTTCTACATCCAATGTGTTGAGCATTCTGGGTAATGGAGACTCTCCCAGCTCTGCTATGGCCAAACGTGTCATCATCCTGGCTCTGGGCCTCAGCATCAACTACATCAACTGTGCTCTGATTCACACCTTCAGGAAACACCAGGTCTGTCTTTGTTTTCACTGTGAATCCTGTTATTGAAAATATTGTTTTTCATACTCTTTAAATGTGTTAAATGGTCAAAAACATCAGAAAAATTAGGTTATGACAAAATGGAAAAGTAAATTTATAATTTTGACATGAAAACATGGTCTTTTCATTGCAGAGTGAACCCAGGACCATTGTTTTCCCTTCTCTATATTCAATATGAATCTTCGATTAAGTTTTTAACCAGTTATAATGTTGCTGTTTCGGCTCTTAAAACATAATAACTGAGCAGTAGTGAGGTGTATTATGCTTTTTCCATTTAGGGTCAGATCATGTGGCTATCTCCAATGTGTTGAGCATTCTGGGTGATGCTCAACACATGTCCATGAAACACATTTCACAACAAAAATAACTAATCTGAAAAAAATTGKCTTTTTGTTAGGGCTGTGTGATGTCAAAAAAATGTTTTATTTATTACTGAAAGGACAAAATAACTTGCAATAAACCCACATCAGAGTTGCAATATATTTCCTGTTTTCTGCTTTGTATAAGATCTAATTCATAATAATGGATCACAGATCACGRTTGTACAGTTTTAACATTTTGACTTCTAGTGTTATAAAAAGTAAAGATAATAATACATCAGTCAAAATAAAAGTTCACTTTACTAAATCCTAAAAAAAAGTCCTCTCTTCTGCTGTCTTTCAGGTGTTTTACATGAATCCTCGTTACATCCTGTTCRTCCATCTGGTGGTGAACGATATGGTCCAGCTCACAACCACAGTCTGCTTGTTTGTCATTGGTTACTCTTTCTACAAAATTAATGTTTCCGTCTGTTGCTTCATTGTTACYTTTGCTGTTTTCACCACCCTAAACACCCCAATAAATTTARCTGCAATGGCTGTGGAGCGCTACATCGCTGTGTGCTTCCCTCTGAGACACGCTGAGCTCTGCACCGTCAGACGAACTTATATTCTGATTGTCTGGATTTGGGTTTTGAGTTCTGTGTYAGTTATACCTGATATATTTCTCATTGTAGCTACAGAGCCTGCATGGCTGTTTTATTCCACAGTACTTTGTGACAGAGACACTATGTTTCGATACCCAGTCAGCATAAAAAAGAGGGATGTTTCTAATATACTATTTTTAAGCATAGTTTGGCTCACTCTCTTCTTTACCTACATAAAGATTTTCTTTGTTGCYARAGCAGCTAATTCAGCTGATGGAAAAGCTAAAAAGGCCAGAAACACCATCCTGCTACATGGCTTTCAGCTCCTCTTATGTATGCTGACATATGTATACCCTTTGTTAAAAAACTCACTGGTATTGTGGTACCCTAAATATTATTTTCACATTGTCTTTGTTTGGTACATCCTCATCCAGATTCTTCCCAGGTTCATCAGTCCCATTGTATACGGACTACGAGACAATGTCTTTAAACAGCATTTAAGAAAATATCTGCTCTGTGCTATGAAAAACAGGAAACAAACCACCAATCGCAGTGAAATTTGTAATGGTTTCCAGAATTCAGATTACACAGGTAAAAGTTGGAAGTAAAAAGTTTGTTTTTGTTTAATACACTGATGCTTTAATCTCACAGTACAGAAACAAAAACAAGTTTTGTTTTTATGGCCATCAAATCTAATTTCACTATTTGGAGTTAGAAGCTGGACAATATTATTTTCATTTCTTTGGTCACTTCATTATTTAGTATTTATATTCATGTCTATTTTTTTTTGGATATTTTTATTGCAATCAATATTTATTAGACACATTAATATTTATTGTCATTAATATTTAAGTCATCTGTTTCGCTGTGCAAAATGCTTGACACTAAGTGGGACGAGAAGGACTGGCTGGACAGAAGGATCAGACTGGAAGGGTGTGCAGCAGGATAGATATAAATGGGTATGTTTATGTTATGGTAAAAATGGGTGATWAATATTTTTAGTTTGTGTTTTTGTCCTGCAGCAAAACGTCCTATCTTTCATAAAACCTTAAGAAAACAATGACTTGTATCATTTAC